GTTCATCCAGCTCTACACTTTGTTATCGCTAATAAAATCTCTGAACAGGTTGATTAGAAAATCACTTGTCTGGAAAGTGGCGGAGGCTGTTTCATTGAATTTATTCAAGGCAAGGTTGGATAGATTTTTACCAGCTAATGGAGTCAAAGACTACGAGTGCACACAGGAAAGTGGTATTGGGGCTACAAATAGATCTTACTGAATGGGGGAGCAGGTTTGCTTCTAAGTCCTATGTTCCTTATCGGGACCTGTTTTATTAGCAAACCATTCATGCAGAGACAGGCATACACACTGTTTCCTGTAAAACTGAATGGTGTTTTTGATGTAGAGCTGAACATTCATTTCTGATTTACAACAAGCCAACTCAATTTGCTGACTGTTAAGAATTCACACAGCCAATAAGTATCTTGGCAAAACCAAGCTTTACAGGGAAATAGGTTCCTTCTATCGGGTGTTTCTTCAGCAAAGCTAGTCTCCCTTCTGCACACCAAGGAGTGGGGCAAATGATACATTCTTCAAATTTATTTTTAAAATACACCTTATTATTTCCTGTTCTGATATGCACAACTTTGATGACTGTGCTGAAGTTTCTTTCCTGTAGTTTTTGATAATCTTTAAAGCTTCATATTTCCCTCTCCTCTAATTCTGAGAATCTTCAGAGATCTTATCCCAAATCTGGTAAAGTGTTCTCAATTTGTGTCCAGTTCATCAGTGATTCGCAATATAAAAAGTACAGAAATGACTGGGCTGATCTGTGGAGTTTCCACTGAGCATTTCCTGTTGCAGTCACTTCACCTGTAATACAAACAGTCTGCTTCTTCAAATGATTTCTGAAGAAGGGTCTAGGCCCAAAATGTCAGATTTCCTGCTCCTCTGATGCTGCTTGGCCTGCTGTGTTCATCCAGCTCTACACCTTGTTATCTCTGCTTCTTCAAATCAGTTCCTTAAGCTGACAGTCCACTGGAAATGATCAGCCGTTGGATTGTATAGTGTGATACATGTTCCTTCTGCTTTCTACAGACTGGTTCTCAAAGCATTAAATCCTGGCTTGCAGCATCAATTCAGTCTGAATGACAAGATCGAATTTAGAGCCAACACAAGAATCATCTTTTTATAATAGCATTGGAATGGAAGGAAAGGTGAAAAGTTTTGCATTTATTTAGTATTTTGTTACTTTCTTAGGAGGTCTCAAGATATTATTTATGTAAGCAAATAAGGCAACCAATTGATATAGAAACATATAAAACAGGGGAATTCATTCATAGAATTCATACAATTCATTTAGGGCGGCACGGTGGCTCAGTGGTTAGCACTGCTGCCTCACAGCACTGGAGGCCTGAGTTTGATACCACCCTTGGGCAACCGTCTGTGTGGAGTTTCCACATTCTCCCCGTGTCTGTGTGGGGGTGCTCCGGTTTCCGCCCACAGTCCAAAGATGTGCAGTCTAGGTGGATTGGCCAGGCTAAATTGCCTATAGTGTCCAGGGATGTGTAAATTAGGTGGGTTATATCGGGATGGGTCTGAATGGAGTGCTCCATGGGTTGGTGTGGACTTGTTGGGCCGAAGGGCCTGTTTCCACACTGTAGGGATTCTATGAGGAGTAGGCCATTCAGCCCTTCAAGCCTGTTCCACCATTCAATATTATCATGGCTGATCATTCAACTCAGTACAGCGTTCCCAATTTTGTCCTACAATTTTTGATCCCTTTCGTGCCCAGAACTATATCCACTCCTCCTTGGAAACATTCAATGTTTTGACTTTAACTGTTTTCTGTGGCAGAGAATTCCTCACTTCTTTTTGGGTGAAGGCATTTGTTCTTATCTCAGTGAAGATGATACATTAATATCCACGAATCTCAACTGAATAAATAAATCTCGTTTGGGGTCAAGGAGGAATTCTGGCCGGAACACTCGCGGAACCCACTCATTTTAGCAACACAGGAGTTCACTATGACGTTTACTTGATCTGAAGCAAACAGATGCTGGATGGGCAATGTGAAAGACGTGTTCAAAATGATGAATGATGGGGCAAGGTAGACAAAAACAGTGGAGATAGGAACAAACTACCTTCTGTTTCAGGAACTGTTCTGCTGAGAGGTCACTGATCTGAAATGTTAGTTCAGTTTCCCTTGCCACCGACATTGCCTGGCATATGAACATATGGATTAGACCAGGAGGAGCCAATCTGTTCCTTAAAGCCTGTTCTGCCATTCAATAAGATCTGACCATAGCCTCAACTCCACATTCCTGCCTGCCCTCCCAGAACCTTGGACTCCCTTGTTCAACGTAACAACATCTCATTTTCTGTTTAGGCATTTTGCAGCCTTGAGATCTCAACATTGAACTCAGTAACTTCAGAAACTGACTGCATTATGTCTGCCCTCCAGTTTTCTTACATTCTCTCCCCTCTCCTTTCGCCACAGTTGTTTTGTGTTTGCATCTTGTTTACTTTGTACTTAGTAGCAAGGACTCATTCTCTCGTTTTCACATTGTAATTTGCGCACATTTTACATCTTTTTCTCTCATTCTCCACCAATAACAATCCCTGTGCCGTTTGTATTGGGCTTAAAGAAGGGTCACTGGAACTGAAAAGTTAACTCTGTTTTCTCCTTCACAGATGCTGCCAGACCTGCTGAGCTTTTCCAGCAACTTTGTTTTTGTTCCTGAGGAGTTAACTCTGTTTTCTCTTCACAGACATTGACAAACCTGCTAAGCTTTTCCAGCAATTTCTGTTTTTGATTCTGATTTCCAGCATCTGCAGTTCTTTGTTTTTTTTTCCCCCTTTGTCTTTTGTATTGGATCTATATACCATATGCCCTTTTGGTGATCCTCTACCACTATCAAAGGCATAAAAAAGAACCTATGTTCCAGCACCTTTCAGGTCTGACGAACAGTCATACTAGACTCAAAACATTAACTCTCTCCACAGATGCTGCCAGAACTGCTAAGTTCCTCCAGCATTCTCTGCATGTTTGGTTTGAGGATCAGCAGTATTTTGCTTTTATCAGTACTTGGGCTCACAGTTGTTTATAACTGCAGTTGATCTTCCCTGTAAGGTATTACAGGATACAAAAATCCTCCCAGCTCCTAAAGGTGAGATGGGGCTTTTGTTATCGTAAGAAGCAATCGTGGAAATGTAGTTTTGAAGTTTCCCCTATATGTTGGGATATCAGGAATATCTTCTGAGTGACAATTGATCCAAAAATTGAAAATCGGACTTTTTCATGAATAATGTCATAATGTTGCTGCCACAAAATTGTGAATAAGATAATGTCTTGACCTCTGGAATTTGCAGTTTTATGTATTGCTGCAGCTCAAGCAAAAATATGTAACTATTTTCTAGCACAGTTACAACATAGACAGTATGGAACACATAGAACATCATTCCTCTATACAAAATAAATGACCCTCCAGTTCAGTCTACTTTCTCATATCCCCGAGATACTAAATAGTTAATTTGCTCAAACGCTGTTATGTGACTCAGCCCGATTCTAATTTCTCTTCTACTTTGTATCCATAATTTATATTCCACATTTAAGCTTTAATCCGACAGCTTCACCATAGTTATAAGCACAACACCATACAAACGACACCATTTTTGTACAAGTTGTACTTTTGACCTGCAAGAATATTACTTGTTATTTTGCAATTCATTGTCTTTTTGTAAAAGGGCAGCTTGGAATTTTACTTAAACCTGCTTGCGCTTTTGGGCTGTATACTATAGAGGGTTCTAATTTAGCAAAGTCTGTGAAATTCAGTTGCAAAAGACCAGTTTGTGACGGGTAGGTAGAATATTGGTGCCTGGAGGGAGGTGACCCTTAGGAAAGAAGAACTCAGCACACGGCCTCGTGTCTGACTGCCCCATAGTACAGAGAAAGCTCTATATTTCAGCCATTGTATTGTCAAGAGAAATAGTTCGCATATGAAGAGAGGTTTTTTAGAACGGGAAATATCTGCATACCTGTAGAAGGCTGCTGAAGGAGGTCCATAATGACAGAATCTGCCCCTTTGGTGTAAACGACAATCTCATCAGTCAGTGGGTGCCTCACCACAACAGACATCCGCTTCCTGGTGGAGTCAAACCCCAGGGTGTGTAAGAGTTCGACGGCTAACTTTCCCACATGCGGCAACTCCACGGTCACCTGTTCAGGTAGTCTCTCGACCAGGGCACAGTTGTAGGCCCTGGCTGCATAGACAAGAGCAGCTTCGTCTGGGCTTTCGGCCTCGTACCTCAGCTCTCCATCTTTCCCATCATCTCTCGCTGCTCCTGGCCGTGAGACACTCTCGCCCTTTTCCCTCTGGGACGATTGGCCAAACTCTTCGCCCATTTTCAGTAAGGTAACATCTCCCGAAGGAGAGGAAATGGCGCTGGACGAGACTCTGTACAGTGACTTGCTCGTGGAAAGACTGGATGAGCTACTGCTGTTCGAACCCGAAGTCAGGCGACTGGGGGTAAACCTTTTGATGAAATCCTCCAAAGTCTTCACTGGAGATTTCAACTCAAATCGGACGCGAGCCTGCAGAAAATTAACACAAACGTCGTCAGAACAACAAATATCCCGGGCTGAGAAATACTTCTGAAGCCTTAACAAAAACCAAAAGAACTGCAGATGCCTTAAATCAGAAAGAAAAACAGAAATTTCTGGAAAGGCTCAGCAGGTTCTGAGGAAGGGTCACTTGACTCAAAACGTTAAGTGATTTCTCTCCACAGATGCTGCCAGAACTGTTAAGCTTTTCCAGAATTTCTGTTTTCACCCCTGAAGCCTTTGTCTTTTCTTTCAAGTTAACAAGTAGCTTACAGCACCAGCACTACTGTGTCCAAACATTCAAACTGAAACTAATACTGTTCTTGCCAGCCCATCAGAACCAAAAATGGAATTTTATGCAGTTTGACTTAAATACAGCTTTTCATCCTACTCCTTTGTTCCCTGCTGAACCTAGTGGGTCAGGTAGAGGCAAAATATTGCAGATGCTGGAACTCTTGAACAAACGCAGCTAATGCTGGCAAATCTCAGCAAGCCTTCCAGCAACAAGAACAGAAATTGCTGAAAAGGATCAGCAGGTTTGGCGGCACCTATGGGAGAGAAATCAGAGTTAACGTTTCGGGTCGAGTGACCCTTCCTCAGAACTGTTTAACAGAAATTCTGTTGGAGAGAGGAGCAAAACCTCTTCAACTTAGGCATGCCTAGAAGTGATGTGGCAGTGAGTTAAATACTAAATAAAAACCAGTTAACCTTTTGTGTCTGGTATGACTCAGTTCTGAGGAAGCCATATTGGATTTGAAATGTTAGCTCTGTTTCTCTCTCTACAGACGCTGTCAGAACCGCTGAGTTTCTCCAGCATCCCCCTTTGGTTATTAGAATGAGCAGTTTTTTTTGTCTGTTTTTTTCAGGTAAGTGTTTTAGGCCTCTCTTTCCTCACCATCAGTATCTAACCATCTAACACGGTCCAATATCTTTCAACATACACTCTCTCTGTCTCTCTTCTCCTTCCCTAATGAACTGTTGGAAACATCAGATGAGAGAATTTTCTGGTGACGTTCTTGTCTTTGGCTGGGTTTTCACAGAGAAACAAATGTTCAATGCCAAGATGTGGGAGTTTCAGACAGAAATGTCACGTAGGTACAAGGATCCATGGCTTTGCGCTAAATTAGCTGATGTCAGCTGGAATAATATTGGGAGACACTGTGGTGGCCTTGACATAGGGATTGGGGGCGTTGTGGGAGGGGTTTGTCCAAAGGCTAAAGAAGGAAAAGAGCCTGCTAAAGCTCTCATCTCACATCTGGAAAATTACACATTGGACAGTTCTTAGTGAGGTGGGGACGGGGCAGAAGGAGGAGTTGGCAGGAAAATAGTTACGTGAGAATTTGCAATGAGTCTTCAGCTGAGAAAAGGAGAAAGCTGTCAGACAAAGGAGAAAAGCCAATCTTTAGACTTTAATTTTAAAAAAAATGCAAAATGACATTGATTACTAAAAATAGCCAGACAAATGTGAGGCAAAACAATTTGGGGCTTTATAAACATACTCCGTGAGTTTGGCTCAGAGACATTGCTTTACAAAGCAATGCCATCAAATATTAAGCTTTGCGAACAACATTTTTGTCAGCAAATTTGAAACCTGACAGTCTCTTTAAAATTTGAACTCAAAGCTTATCACAAGCCACCTGGTTTACCTTGACCTTGACAATGACCTTGACCTGGTTTACCTTGACCATGTCTATTCAAAATCATTTGGCAAATGAAACAAGAAAGCAATAGGTCTTAGAACCTTCAATCCAACCAGTCCCATGCTTAATATAATCTCAAACCAAACTAGTCCCACCTGCCTGCTCCTGGCCCATACCCTTCCAAACCCTTCCTATTCATGTACTTATCTAAGTGTCTTTTACACGTGGTAACTGTCCGCACATCGACCACTTCCTCAGGAAGTTCATTTCACACACTAACAATTCTGTGTTAAAAATACTGCCTCTCGTGTCTTTTTTAAATTTCTCCCCTCTCACCTTAAAAGTATGCCTCCTAGTCTTGCAACTCCCTATCCTAGTGAAAAGACACCTACTAGCAGTCCTATCTGTACCCCTCAGGATTTTATAAACCTCTGTAAGATCACCCCTCAATGTCCTATGCTCCACAGAAAAACATCCCAGCCTATCCAGCCTTTCTTTGTACCTCAAACATTCCATAACTGGCAACATTCTGGTACATCTGTTCTGAACCCTCTTTAACTCAATTGATAATACCCTTCCTAAAACAGGGGCAACCAGAATTGGACACAGTACTCCAGAAGAGACCTCATCAATGTCTTGTAAAACCTCAAAATGATGCCCAACTCATATACTCCAAGGACTGAGCAATGAAGGCAAGCTAAATATCTTAACCACCTGTCTACATGTGACACAAACTTCAAAGAATTATGTACCTGAACCCATTAGTCACTCTGTTCTACAATAGTAACCAATGTGTTGTAATCATTCTACACATTCCTCAATTTGTTGTTGGTAATGTGTACGGACTGGGTAGCTGTGATGCTGATATCATGGCTAATAAAAATAGTACAGCAGGCTTCATAAAATGAAAGCCCCTTATTGTAGCTCATGTGTTCCTAAATCAGAACATCCTCCGGCTCTATGAAAAGACCCAAAAGTGAATGTGACAATGCAATACTTTGAAAAGAGCTGTGTTCAAAGCAGAAAGGATGGTGACAAATGAGTAGAACGTACCTTGTGTCGAGGCTGATTTGGAGATGAAACCACAACAGTGTTGCAGACAGTCAATGCTATAAAAAAGTCAATGATGTCCGATAGTTCAGGGGTCAAATGGCTCAAAGGGTGACCATGCTGTCTCAAAGCCTCCAGCTGACTCGCACATTCATTCACCTTTTCCAATAATTGAGGGTCAGGAGTGATATCTTTTTCCTAGAGATAATAAGGAACATTCAGGGTAACAAAGTGACAACAAATTCTGTATTGCAGTGCACTCCAAATGCAAACAACCTCCCAGCACAATATATGACTAGAGCTCATTTAGGCCATACCACATAGCTTAGGCCATCAGACCATAAGATATAGGAGCAGAATTAGGCCATTTGGCCCTTCAAGTATGCTCTACCATTCCATCATGGCTGATATGTTTCTGAGCGCTGTTGTCCTGCCTTCCTCCCATAACCCTCGATCCCCGTTCTGATTTATCTTTGTCTTAAAGACGCTCAAAGAATTGGCTCCACAGACTTTTGCAGCCATGAGTTCCACAGATTAACCATCCTCTGGCTGAAGAAATTCCTCCTCATGTCAACTCAGCTCAAAAGGGTCATCCCTTCACCCTGAGGCTGTGCCCTCGGGTCCTGAACTCTCCTATTAGTGGAAACATCTTCTCCACGTCCACTGTATCCAGGCTTCTCAGTATTCTGTACGTTTCAATCGGATGCCCCCCTCATCCTCCTACACTCCATCGGGCTTAAACTGTAAACGTACAATGCAAAGCTTTCAAGGTACACCATTCTCACAGAACAGCTATCCAGCCCGGCCTGTTGTAAAGGATGCAGCCTGAACCACCTTTGGTGTATCATGTATACTGACCATCGGGCTGCTGAAAGCAGTGTGTTTGGAGAGAATGCTGGCCCTCTTAGCTTCTGCCCTGCTGCCCGTACGCCGATGAGATTTAGTGCTTTGTGTTCGGTGAACAAATTTGGCACTTTGATGACTGGACGTGCTATCACACCTTGGTATGGTTCCCGATTTAGACATACATTCCTCGTCCTCTGAGTCAGGCTCTTGGTACATGGCCAATCTCTTTGCTGTTCAAGGGATAAAGTATTTACATTAAAATGACAAACATATAAATTCAAACCACTGAAAAAATGACATGGTGTAGAAACCAAAATAAGATAATATTTCTGTTGATTTATTTGCAATTTACTCTTTCTTTCTAATCTTCTTCATATTCCCTGCTAGCTGAAAACAATAGGACAGTCTACTGCCCAGAGCGTTTTCCGGGATCATACCATAACTTCCTTCATCACCGTCAGAAACACTGTTGTGGAGGTGCCAGTGTTGGACTGGGGTGGACAAAGTCAGAAGTCACACGATATAAGGCTATAGTCCAACAAGTTTTTTTGAAATGACAAGCTTTTGGAGCGTAGCCCCTTCATCAGGTGATATGAGACAAAAGCACACAGATACAGAATTTATGGGCAGAGAGATGAAGGGCAGAGAAATCAAAAGATCATACAAATGGTGTGAGTGCAGTATCAAATAATAAGTCTCTGCAGGTGACCAAGAGTGTTAGATGGTGTGAGTAAAGTGTCAACAGCTGAATAACGAGCGAAGGGATGACCTAGAGTCCGATTAAATGATATCATGTTGTTCCAGTCATTTGGTTTGTCTCCAGCACCACATTATTTTAAATCTTTGTAATTCTGTCTTTGCCTCAATTAATCGGACTCTAGGTCATCCCTTGGCTTGTTATTCAGCTGTTGACACATTACTCACACCGTCTAACGCTCTTGGTCACCTGCAGAGACTTATTATTCAACACTCCACTCACACCATTTGTATAATCTTTTGATGTCCCTGCCCTTGATCTCTCTGCCTATAAATTCTGTGTCTGCGCGATCTTCTCTTTCACTTCACCTGTTGAAGGGGCTGCGCTCTGAAAGCTTGTGATTTCAAATAAACCTATTGGACTATAACCTGGAACAAAAAACAAAGTTGCTGGAAAAGCTCAGCAGGTCTAGCAGCATCTGTGGAGGAGAAAACAGAGTTAATGAACGTTTCGGGTCCGGTGACCCTTCCTCAGAACCGGACCCGGACCCGAAACATTCGTTAACTCTGTTTTCTCCTCCACAGATGCTGCCAGACCTGCTGAGCTTTTCCAGCAACTTTGTTTTTTGTTCCTGATTTACAGCATCCGCAGTTCTTTTGGTTTTTATCTATGGACTATAGCCTTATATCGTGTGACTTCTGACTTTGTCCACCCCAGTCCAACACTGGCACCTCCACGACAGTGTTTCTGACGGTGATGAAGGAAGTTATGGTATGATCCTGTAAAACACCCAGTTTTCTGAGTCTCCCTGTGTAACTAAAATCCTGATATAATCGCATGAATGAATTTTAAACTATTATAAAAGACTAGCATAAATTTCTTGGTTTTATACTCTGTGACTCCATTTATAAAGGGACCTAGACATGTTTTCTTAAAAATCAGTTTTATTAATACACAAACAAAAACAGAAATTGCTGGAAAAGCTCAGCATCTAAGGAGAGAAATCAGAGTTAATGTTTCGGGTCCAGTGACCCTCCCTTAGAACTCACTTGACCCGAAATGTTAAACTCTGATTTCTCTCCACAACTGTTGCTAGACCTGCTGACCTTTTCTGGCAATTTCTGTTTTTGTTTCTGATTTACAGCATTGGCAGTTGTTTCGGTTTTTATTCAGTCTTATCAATATCCTGGCACCTTCAAAAATCTGTGTGCATAAACTTCTGCAGCTTTGGCTTTTGTGAAAGAATTATTCAAGGTTTACTCTCCTGGTCCTATTATTTATCTCCTATTCCGCTATCAACTCTTCTCATGTGGGTTTATTGAGGATGAATAGAATCTTTTGTTTATCACATCATTTCTCATAGCTCAGCCCATCTATGGCAGGACATTAGCTTTCTTGTCTTTTTCCATAATCTGTCCAGGGCCAGACTGAACGCATTATATCAATGGTGAGCACAGTAACCAAAGTGCGATCTGAACTGAGCACCACCACCAGACAGCTCCAGCCTGATCTCTGACTCAAAAGAACAGAGCTCAAATCTCCCAAAATTAGAAAGGAAATTTACGGACAAATACGCAGTTCTATCTAATTACGCTTTCGAAAATGCATTCTCTCTACAGATAATAGATACATTTTTTACACAGTGGACAACACTCTACACAGCACTGTGGAGAAGGTCTGATTTTATTGCTTTAACCAGGAGAATCTATATAAACTATATCATGAACTGTATTTTCTATAAACTATACAGTGTCAGAATTGATATTGTAAGATTGCTTACATTTCTGAGGCTGATAGCGCAAAAGGTAGTGTGAAGTATAGCAATAATCACTGTTTGTTTCACACTATTTCACACATTGCCTGTTTTGTGATGGATTCTTTGTCGGGTGCACAGAATCACCCTGCAACTTCACTGATTTTCAGGCTGTTTCAATAACCTCTTCCCTTCACTGATGAATGGGGATAAATGATACCTGTGTAAAGCCTTCTCTTTGTGATTTCATTGAGCTGGTAAAGGTGACCACAATGGAATTTACAACACAACGGTTATTACAGATATGGCTTTTCAGACCGAGGCTGCATTGTCATGACATACTAATTCCAAAATGAGGAAAGAAACTGATCCATTATAGCAAGTTGAACAAAACGATTTACTTTCCACTCGGGTCTAGCAGTGTACGGAGACATCAGCAGAAGACAGCAATGTATGCTTCCTCACCAGGCCCTGGACACGTCTGCATATGACCCCATCTTTGTCCTCTGCTCGAATCAACTCATTCAGAACAGACCACGGATCAA